AGTAATGCTATAGTATTTGATTTTATAGTTTTTGTAATGATTCTTTTTTCTGTTTTATTTTTTTGTATCGTTGTATCCTTTTTACTAATAAAGCTGAATTTATTGTATTTAAATAACAACATATTCTTTTTCTTTCTAAAATATAATTATAATAATATCAACAACCCACCCAATCGGACAAAGTTAGTCCAAAATAGATGTTTCGCTTTTTATTTTATTTTTTTTAATTACAAGAACCACTACAATAAAAATAACTTTTAGCGGCTTTAAATATTGATACTAATTAAAGAGTGCTAAAGTTTTTACCGACACTAATTAAGTGTCATTACAACCAATGTTGTTAAAGGCTTTAGGGACATATACAAAGAGTATCAATTGCCGCTAAAAATATTTCTTAATTGCCGTTGATGATCATTTTTGTTATATAGTGAACATCATTATTGACAATCCAAAAAAATAATTATATATATACGCTCCATGTTAGATTTTATGACCGGTTAATAGTTTGTTTTGTCAAGCTTTATTGTTAAATTAATTATTATAAAAAATAAGGTGTAAGAAGTGGACGATAGTGGATATAAGAAGAGGTTTAAAACCAATATTTTTTTTTGAAAAATGAACCGATGTGAAATGTTAATAATAGTGGTATAATCGTATAAATATATTTTCATCAAACACATCAATCATTTATTATCAGATTCAACACTCCAACTCAGACACATAACTGTTTATTTATAAAACTAACTTCAAACATACTTTAAAAAAAAAAAAGTAATTTCCAATATCAAAACACTAAGCCAAAAGTGTTAGTGCTAATACAATGGGCACTAACATGACACATGAAGCAACAACCCTAGTCGACGCGGATCCCGATGGAGACGGAGGAGACGATGTCTCACCACCGGGTGATGACGGAGATGAACCGGGAGTAGGGCTCCCGGACGGGGATCCGGTCAACGTGACGTTGACCGTTAATTTTTGGCCTTGGTTGCAATGGATAGTACAAATGAAATAATAATCCCCAGTAGTATTAAGAGTGAATTTTGCTGGACCATTTGTTTCATTATCTATTGGATTTGCAGCATTGCAACTATCAAATGCATTTTTATTTACCCTAGTTGCTGTGTGTACTCCACTATTGAAATTGAACTCTGCATGTACATATTAAAAAATGACATAAGTAATAAAAAAAAATATCACAAAGTCAAACAATTAATATAGTGGAAAAAAAGGATAAATATACCTTTGACTTTATGATTTAGAATCGATATATTCCTTAATAAAGAAGTGGCTCACATATAGGGGCGGATCTACGTGGATGTCAGGGGTTAAGAAAATAGATCAGAGAAAGCAAGTACTTATTCTTTTTAGATTTTAATATTATTAATAATAGAAAAAATTGGCTCGAAATGTGTCATCGAATGACAGTGACATAAACGAGTTAATTTTTTTAACAAATGGTGTAAATAAGTCATTTTAATAGTTTGATGACGTATTTGAACCCTTAACTAATAAAATGTCCACTAAGGATAAAAACAAAAACTATTAATTAGAATTTTTTGCTTGCGTGTGTGATATGTGTCAAACATAATTAATAATTAGTGTAATTTGATTCATTATAACTGATAATTCATTGTTAAATATAAATATATTTTAAAAAAAATTACTTGTGATTAGATCTAAATAACTTGCTTGTGTGTGAGATTCATTAACTCAAGTTGTAATAGGAAAGTGATAAGAAAATTTTTAATTGCAATAATCTGATTTTAATTGTGTGAAATGAAGCTTAATTAAAAATTAATTATAGTGTCAGATACTTTTCAAATTTAATACCAAAACATCATATTAAGATGATGCCAAACGATGACTATGAACTTGTTTGACTGGATTCATGGATCGAACGCTGGTGACGAAATTAAACTCTATTAGAATTTTATTTTCTAAAATCTTGTGATATTCGTATAGGAGGTTGAGATATATTTATTATAATTATATTTAAAAAGTATTATGTTCGATAAGAATTTATGATGATTTTTGTAAAGAAATTGAAAGGTTGTTATCATTATATCTGAAAAAAAGCAATAACACTAATTTTCTATTGTTTTCTTTTCCTTTTCTTAAAATATCATGTTTGTAATTTTATTTTATGTTTTTTTTAAAAAAAAAAGACTACATGAAGTAATTTTTAAAAATGAAGAGAATTTTTGAGCTATTTTTAAAAATTAGGATATAATTAATTATTTATTTTCACTTGTACATACATATGGAAAGAGATTAATATGATTTAAGAAATTAGTATTAAACTAAAATTAATAAATAAGTACAAATAATTTAGTCCAATCATCCTTTTAGTAAATACTTTCAAAAAATATATATTGAAAAAAAAACATGACAAGTAAAATGAATCGCAGAAAGTAATGTATACTCACCTAAAATGTCCCCAACAACAAAAGTATGTTGATTAGCCCAATTGGAATAAGTAACAACACCATTAGGAGGAGTTTGCCAACCAAGATTATCACCAACTATATATGTTCTTCCTAATGAAACATCAACAACACAACCAAACAACAAACACACTAACAATAATAATTTGGAACATGATGAACCAAATTTTGTAGCCAAAATAATTTCCATATCAATCTAAGTTTTTTTATATGTTCTCAATGGATTTGGTCACCCCTTGTGTTTAGTTTAATTTGTATCTTGTAGTAGTTTAGATTAGTGGTGTGTTTTTGTTGAATAAATAGGGAAGAAGCCAAAGGTAAATACCTATTGGAGTAGTTGAGAATTTTTGCTTTATAAATTTAAAAGTCAAACTTGGATAATGGTAAGGTACTCTCCCTCCGTTTCATATTAGTTTGTCCTGTTTTAATTCTCGAGAAGCATCAGAGTGTTATATGATTTTTTATTAACATTTTCTAAAAAATCATCAAATTAACATGAGAAAAATTGCAATTCATGATACTTATGGATATAATTTTTAAATATAAGATGTTAAAGTTGATCTAGTCTAATTAACTTCAAATTGAGTAGTTATAAAAATAGAAACATGACAATTAATTTGAGACGAAATAACTTAAACTTTTCCTATCAATTGAGATAATCATGCATTTAGCATAATTAGTCAATGGTTTGAGGATTAAAAATGTTTCTTGGATCATGCCGGTCCTAGAAAATGTTATAATACCTAGTTTATTATTTTGGTTTGGATTCTTTGGTTAGGTAAAATTTTAAGTATAAAATTTTGGTTTGGATTCTTTGGTTAGGTAAAATTTTAAGTATAAAGTAAAGAATGTTTCAATAGTTAAAAGGAACAAATTACTTTCTATTTCGATATTTTTTTTGAATTAAAATAATTTTTGGGTTTTCAGATGCATCGCTCTTTCGCTCAATATATTGCAAATAATATATATGTTATGTATCATACGTATATAATTATAAAGCAGATTCATATTAATTTAGGTTTGAAATAATTGAGGTTATACATCAACAACAACAAGTACAAATTCATTATACACAAATAAATTGTAATGTATCTGATAGAGATGAAGTAATTGGGGTTATGCATTGTAATGACCCGTGAGGTTATTTTTGGAAAATTTAAAATTATGTCTCATTCGAGACAAAGTATTGAGAGGGCAAGCTAAGGAGGCTGTCATTGATTCTGATGGTGTCTTACGGATCGGAGGCAGGATCTGTGTGCTTAAGACAGGCGATTTAATTAGATTGATTCTTGAGGAGGCCCATTGTTCTCGGTATTCCATCCATCCGGGAGTGGCAAAGATGTATCATGATCTGAGTCAGCATTACTGGTGGTGTGGAATGAAGAGAGATATTACAGAATTTGTTTCGAGGTGTTTGACTTGCCAGCAGGTCAAGTGTGAGCACCAGCGGCTTGGGGGTGTATCTCAGAGGATGCCTAATCCTACTTGGAAGTGGGAGCGGATTACTATGGACTTTGTTGTGGGTTTGCCTACCACAGTGGGTGGTTATGACTCTATTTGGGTTGTTGTTGATAGGCTGACCAAGTCTGCCCACTTCATCCCGGTTCGGGTGAAGTATACGGTAGAAAAGTTAGCCGAGCTATATATCAGTCAAATTGTGCGACTACATGGAGTTCCGATTTCTATCATATCAGATCGGGGTTCATTATTTACTTCTCATTTCTGGAAGGCATTACAACATGGTCTGGGTACTCAGTTAGATATGAGTACGACATTTCACCCTCAAACAGATGGTCAATCTGAGCGGACCATTCAGGTATTGAAAGATATGCTTCGAGCATATGTGATCGATTTTGGTGCTAGATGGGATCAACATTTACCATTAGCGGAGTTTGCCTATAATAATAGTTATCACTCTAGTATCCAGATGGCCCCATTTGAGGCATTGTATGGAAGATGGTGTAGGACTCCGATTGGTTGGTTTGATTCGGCAGAGATGGACTCTTTGGATACAGACTTGCTTAGAGATACTATGGAGCAAGTCCGCATGATTTAGTATAGATTATTGACAGCTCAGAGTCGACAGAAGAGTTAGGCAGACCGGAGTGATCGTTTGACTAATTGAGGCAAGTGGATTTCTATACTCTTGTTAAGTGTATGAAATGCGTGTATTTCCTTGTGGTATATGTTTGGGAGTAATGGGATTGGTGATGGGTTGACTTGTCCATATTGATTAATTATAATGATGAAAAAAAAGGGGATAACAAAAGACAATGTGATTAATTGTTTATGTGTGATTTTGTTGAGAAAGGGTTGAAGGCTTGTTGAATCATTGTCGATGTGACTTCATGTTTGTGTGGTTGTGAACTGTACGATGTTATGAAAATGGTCATCTCCTCATTATTTGTGTGAATTTGTTATCTGCATTATTTTGAGGCATTGGTTGTGACAAGTGTTACGTGCATTGAGAAAGAATGAGTACTTAAGAGGATGTACCATTTCGAGGGACGTATCGCGCGCGCCACGATGAATAATGTATTTCGAGGGATGTATCGCGCTCCACGAAGGTTACTATTATCGAGGGTCGTGTCGTGCGCCGCGACAGATGCACAGACAGGTATATTCCCCATGGGTCCCGGACTGAGAGAAAGCGGGTGTGTATCGTTAAGAAAGACATGTATCACGATATTTGACATTGCATCTCATGGCATTGCACATTTTTATTATTGATGAACTTGAACATGTGTTTTGCTGATCTTGTGATTGTTTCTCTGTGAAGCTTGTGACTGTTGAATATGGAGTTGTTATTGAGAATGTGTAAACTGTTAGAGTGTGGTTATTGAGTGGTGTGTTTGGTAAACTGTTAGGCTGTAGCGTGGAGGTTTAGATAGGGCGTAAGGAGTACCCGTATTTTGTTCACTTAGCTTGTGTTTAGAGGTTTGCTTGTTGGGTACCACGTGGTTTGGTACTCACCCCTTGCTTCTACAAATTTTTGTAGGTTACGAGCCCGGATTTTTGTGATACCTTCCATTCTCTTCGTTTCC